TAATATTCTAAACAGAAATACAGAGTGCCTCTAAATTTCATCTGACAGAAACCTTATGCTTATATTAGCTGTATCCAAAAATAAGAACAAGCCTAAATGAAGACTGCCACAAACCTTTAGCATCAGCAAAAGGCTGTATCTCAAGGGAGAGAATATCAGCACAAAGAAAATACCAGGTTTAACTAGAAGGACCTGATAAAGACATATCCTACTGCACAGTTCATTGCTCAGAGAGCAAGCAGGGAAGTGAAAAATATACCATGAATGTCCATTGTTTGTGAATGGCTAGGGTTGGGTCAAGTAAGGCTAGCCATATAGAATATCAGCCCTATTATAGTTCCCAAGAAAACACCGCACACATTCTAAAGATTAGCAAAGGGACTACAGCACACTAAAAAGGGAGGGGGGATGAGAATGCCTCGTTTGATTATTGATTTAATTTACAAATGTGAAAAGGAGTGTAGTGTGGTACATGGGATGTCATGTATTCTAAGTATATATAATGCAGGGTCTGTTTCATGGTAACAGAATTCAAAAATTAGGATTTTATCTAACCTTTGAGCAATATAAGAAAATTTCAGGCCTGGCGCAGTGGCTCACACCTGTAATGCCAGCACTTTGGGAGGCTGAGGCGGGAGGATCTCTTGAAGCCAGGAGTTTGAGACTATCCTGGGCAACAAAGCAAAACCCTATCTCTAAAGATAAAGAAAGAAATGATAAATTAAAAAAATAAAATTGAAACTAGTTCCACAAGAGGCATTGGGGGCTATTAATTTAATTGAATCATTCATAGATATTACCATTTTAAGGGTATATTGGTATGAGCTAAAGGTTATCTGGACACTGTTTGGAAAACAGAAACATGTACATGTGACAGTTACTCTAAGGGTTTATTCTAAAAAGAAAAAATCTGATGGGTGAACATTTGCTTCCTTGGGTTATGTGCTATAATGTCCCCAACATAATTTTCCTGAAAAATGACTATATGGGTTACCAAAACAAACATATACATCACTGCAACACTTTGTCGTAACATATGCAGTGCTTTAAGCCAACTCAAAGATGTATAATGTAGAACTGGAATCATTTCCTAGACAGAGGACCACTAGCAATAACCTTTAATAGCCCAGGGTCTCCAGGGGCACATTTAAGGCAGGATTCCTAGAGGCTGCATTTCGGCAGCCACTGTGGAATGAAATAAACACTTTGGAGCAGAGCAGGAAGTCCCGCTGTTCAGCACTAGCTGGTTTCAAGCCAATGGTTCCTAATCTCAATGAGCAGCAGCTGTCATAGCCATTCTGCAGGGATGTCTTTTTGAAAGTTCTTAAAGATCTTAATTGTGACCTTCCCCTCTGGCTCTAAGTAAGGTTCTTCTTGCTCACCTGTCATATAATTGGGAGCACTCAATTTCATGATCAGCAACACAAAATGAAGTGGAGAATACTCTTATTAAATAAGCTGGAAGAAAGGGACAGAGAGACAGGCAGCATGATGTACTAGAAAGAGAAGTGGTCCTCCTGGCAAAACCTGACGCAAGGGACAGGCTGCTGCGACCTTGTACAGATAACTCATCAGTAAATCTACTTAACATGCCTCTTTGGAGAGTATTGTCTTAGTCCTTTTGAGTGGCTATGACAAAATGCACTCATCCCTTGATACCTGTGGGGGACTGGTTCCAGAACCTCCTGTGGATACCAAAACTCGATGATGCTCAAATCCCTGTTAAAAAATGGTGTAGTATTTGCATATAACCTATGTATGTCCTTTCATATAATTTAAATCATAGGTAGATTACTTATAAAATGTAATACAATGTAAATGCTAGGTAAATGATCATCATGCTGTGTTGTTTAAGGAATAATGACGAGAATATTCTGTACATTTTTAGTACAAATGCAATAATTTTTCCAAATATTTTTGATCCATGGTTACTTGAATCCACAAATGCAGAATCCACAGGTATGGGGGGATGACTGCACCTTAGACTAGGTAATTTATAAACAATAGAAATGTATTGTCCACAGTTCTGGAGGCTGGGACACCTAAGATCAAGGTGCCAGCAGCTTCAGTGTCTGGTGAGGGCTTGCTCATCAGAGATGACACCTACTTGCTGCATTCTCACAAGGCAGAAGAGAAGACAAGCTTCCTCCAGCCTCTCATAAGGGCACTAATCCCATTCATGAGGTCTCCGTCCTCATGATCTAATCACCTCCTGAAGACCCCACCTCTTGTAGTACTATTGCATTGGAGGTTAGGTTTCAACATATGAATTCTTGGGGATACAAATATTCAGACCACAAGAAGTATCTGTTTATGAAAATAAGCATGTGTAAATAAGGCATTTGGACTGTGTTAACTTCTCAACATAAAGCACAATTGTAAAAATTCTTAGTTGAATCACTTTGGAGTCTATTCAAGACAATTTCTCATATTAAGGCCTCAGCCTGCCATTCCAAAGATACCTTCCTGTGAACCTGCTCTCAAGCACTGAATGAACTGCTAGGCTGGCACACCAGCCGCACCCCCACCTGGCCAACTTCCAGCCTGTGCCTCTAATCATGCCTTCTCCCATCTCCACCTACTGAAATCCCATGCAGCCTTCCACATTCAGCTCAAATGCCATCTTCTTCATGAAATTTTCTATCAAAGGGGCTGAGAGACAGAAGAGGGAGAGGGATGAGAGCCAGGGAGAGATTTGCTGCCACTTGATGGCTTTAGCTTTGCAAAGGCAGCAAGAAACACAGTGGCCTGAGTCTGAAAACCAACATGGTGAGATTTCCCAACAGTGGCACAGGCACTAAAAAGGCAGTGAAAGCTCAGCCAGTGAGGTGTTAAAATACAGGCAGGGTGACCATCTGTCCAGGCTATCACAGACAGAATTTTCACGCTGGGTGGGGGTTACAAGGGATGACCCTACATCCCTTCCATGCTTCTAAGTTGTGTCATGGCCATGGGTTCAAAACAGTAAGTTTCAAGTTACAGGCAAATTTTGTTGAAGGTCCAGTTTATGATTCTCTAATCTTACCTGCCCACTTTCCTGATAAATTTATTTAAAAAGAAATACAGCCTTCAGCCTAGCTACTTTGGAGGCTGAGGTGGGAGGATCACTTGAGCCCAGAAGTTCAAGGCTGCAGTGAGCCATGATTGCACCACTATACTCCATCATGGGGCAATAGAACAAGACTGTCTCTTAAAAAAAAAAAAAAAGTGTTTAAGTAATATAAGCCATTTTATAAAAGGTGGTGAGAAAGCAACATAGCAGCATAAGAGCAAAGGCTTTAAAGTTAGCCTGCACATGGATATGAATCCTTGTTTTAGACAAGTTATATAACCACTGCCGGTCTTACTTTCCTCACCTGTAAAGTGGGCTTAAGAACAGAACATCATAAGGGGTTGATGTAAGGAGTATATGAGTTAATACACATAAAGCAGTTAGTGTAGTATATAGCATATAGCAAGCATGCAATAACAGTTCATTACTATTAATATCACTACCATTATTAAAGTGCTTTGCAGGTCCTGACACATGGATTTTTTTTAATAAATAACAACTACCAAGATTTTTAAAGTTATTTTTTTTATAGAGATGGGGTTTCCCTGTGTTGCCCAGGCTTATCTTGAACTCCTGAGCTCAAGTGATCTGTTCACCTCAGCTTCCCAAAGTCCTGAGATTACAGGCATGAGCCACTGCCCCCAGCCCATCAATATTATTATAATACATGTAAGTTTATATATTAAATGCCATTCATTTTAAGTAAGATAAATACATAATCATTCATTTTAAAGATTAATCTTAGATTCATTGTAAAGCAAATATTTAAAGACATCATTACAAAAGTAGAATTTGGTATACAGGCCCCCTCTGGTTAAGGGATAATAGTGGTTAGTTATTACCATTTTATAGATGATAAAACTCAAAGATTCTATTAATTGCCCAAGGTCACACAGTGGAGAAACTAAAACTAGAACTGAGTCTTTAGTTTCTAAGTTCCTTCTTCCTTCCATGAACCATGCAAATAAAAATAAAATAAATTGGAAGTATGGTAGCATGCCAAGAGTTAATCTATTCATCCAGCTGAGAGATGTGTTTCTTCCTTCTCTGTTTAACATTTCTGAGGCTTTTATCTCCTTTATGTGAAAAAGACAAGAAATCTTTATTCTACATGTAATGAGGGATCTCCTCCCATAAAACATGGCAGATTAAACACATGTAATGGATTAGTCAGGATGCAGATTCTACTGATAATGAATGAAATAAAATGGAGTTGTACTTCTCTTCCATATTACAAGAAGTATTAGAAGGCCTAGATGGCCAGGCACAGTGGTCCACACTTGTAATCCCAGCACTTTGGGAGGCCAAGGTGGGAGAATTGCTTGAGGCCAGGAGGTCTAGGCCAGCCTGGACAACACAGCAAGACCCTCTCTTAAAAAAAAAAAAAAAAAAGGCCAAGGCTAATAGGGTACCCTTCAATGTTGGAAACTCATATTCCTTCCCTTCTGGTGCTCAGCCTTTCCAGGATGCCACTCTCTTCTGCATGGTTGACGCTAGTTCACTGCTATAGCAAGACCCTCTCTTAAAAAAAAAAAAAAAAAAGGCCAAGGCTAATAGGGTACCCTTCAATGTTGGAAACTCATATTCCTTCCCTTCTGGTGCTCAGCCTTTCCAGGATGCCACTCTCTTCTGCATGGTTGACGCTAGTTCACTGCTATAGCCATGTTCCTTCCAGGCAACAAGAAAAGACATGCCTCTTGCTTTTAAGAGCATGATTTAGGGCCAGGTGCAGTGGCTCAGGCCTGTAATCCCATCACTTTGGAAGGCCAAGGCAGGCAGATTGCTTAAACCCGGGAGACCGAGGTTGCAGTGAGCTGAGATCTCACCACTGTATTCCAGCCTTGGTGACAGAATGAGACTCTGTCAAAAAAAAAAAAAAAAAAAAAAAAAAAAAACCTAATACAAACAATATTTCACTGTAGCAAGCTGAAAGGATATGCTGCCAGGAATGAAGGAAAGAAAGATGTCAGCTGTTTGGGGTAGGGGATGCGGGTGGCTCCTCAGATCTCCAGGTCCTCGCAGGACACATGCTCAAAGTGGTGAAGACCTTCTACTTGCCTACAGTGACATCCTGCAGGAAGCCTAAAGAGGCATTTTCAAAGTCTCTGCTGCTTCCAGTCTGGTCATCCTGAAACTTCAACATCATTACTATACATGATTGCAAAATCACCTTGCATAAGTTGCAGAATCTAACATCTAGGTCAAGGTACAACTTCATACCATACCACACCTCCATCTTGCTTCACTGTTCACAGTTATATTGAAAATGACAGGCATCACCCATGCACAGCTGTATGGCAGCATTGTAGCAATGTTACTAGGCACAGTTATCTCCAGCATTACATGGCCTGGGAGGTTGTGAACAGGATCTGCCAAAAAGCACAAAGATAGTTAAGCCAAAGTGGGTAAAAGGCAATTATTATTTTCAGGAAAAACAAATATTGGACAAGATAGGGAGTATAGTATACTATATGGCTCTGCTGTAATAACTATATGATCATAATCATATTAGTTTAACCAAAAACTGTGATATAACTGTATCAAGGGGATAGGAAAAAAGGAAGTGGGAAGAAAAGAAAGAGTGTTAGAGAACTAGATCCTCATTTCACAGTAATAAATCACTAGGAATAGTGACTCAAACTGGTAAGTCAAGAAACAGTGTTACATTCCTTTTTCTTTTTCTCTCCCTTCTTTCTTCCCTTCCTTCCTTCCTTCCTTCCTTTATTTCTTTCTAGATGTATGTAGATAAATATCAGAAGAAACAGCTAAGAATTTACAGTGCTTACCTTTGGAGATGAGCCGTGGAACAGGAAAAAAGAAGCAAAGTGATGTGGGCTCCATGCTTGCACAGCCTGCAGAACCATGAGCCAGTTAAATCTTGTTTGTTTGTTTTTTTTTTTTTTTTTTTTTTTTTTAGTTTTTAAATTTTACTTTAAGTTCTGGGATACATGTGCAGAATGTGCAGGTTTGTTACATAGGTATACATGTGCCATGGGATAGTTTGCTGCACCTGTCAACCCATCATCTAGGTTTTAAGCTCCACATGCATTAGGTATTTGTCCTAATGCTCTCCCTCCCCTCGCCCCCCATCCCCAAACGGGCCCTGGTGTGGGATGTTCCCCTCCCTGTGTTATCATTGTTCAACTCCCACTTATCAGTGAGAACATGTGGTGTTTGGTTTTCTGTCCCTGTGTTAGTTTGCCAAGAATGATGGCTTCCAGCGTCATCCATGTCACTGCAAAGGACATGAACTCATTCTTTTTGATGACTGCATAGTATTCCATGGTGTATATGTGCCACATTTTCTTTATCCAGTCTATCATTGATGGGTATTTGGGTTGGTTCTAAGTCTTTGCTATTGTAAATAGTGCAATCTCTTTTCTTTATAAATTACCCAGCCTCAAGTATTTCTTAATAGCAATGCAAGAATGCAACAGAGACATAAGAGAAAAGGCCCCTTGCACTGTCCACCTTTGTACCATGTTCAAATATTACTTATGTTTTTAAATATTTGAAAAGCAAAAATAAATAAAAAGCAAATAAAGTAAAACATCTGAGGAAGAAACCTGGTTTAGCTGATCTTAAGAATGCTTCAGAAAACTTAAGAAAGATGTTAACTTAAGAAAGATGTTTGGAGATAAATTCACTTAAGAAAGATGTTAAGAAAGATGTTTGGAGATAACTACTGACTCTTGTTAACCACTTTTCATGTACAATTTCAAGGGGATTTATCTACCTATCACCAAGCCCTGAGTTATCAGGTAGACGGCAAGCTTCCAGAGAGAAGAAGGCATGGGTTTTTGTACCTCTCCTGTGATCTAGCCAAGCCTCTGGAAGAGAATATGTACTTGAGAAATATTAGGTCCCATTCAAAAATAAATATTCCAAAATAAGTAAATATTTAATACAGTAAACTGATCTTTGACAAAGGTGCCAAGAATACACAATGGGGAAAGGACAGCCTCTTCAATAAATGGCGAAGGAAAAACTGAATATCCACATGCAAAAGAATGAAATTGAGCTTCTGTCTTACACTACTCACAAAAAATAATTTGAAATAGATTAAAGACTTCTATGTAAGACCTGAAACTGTAAATATGTAGAATAAAACCTAGGAGAAAGCTCCTTGACATTGGTCTAGGAAATGATTTTTTTGGATATGACCTCAAAAGCAGAGGCAACAAAATAAATAAATAAATAAATAAGCAAATGGGATGGCATCAAACTAAAAATCTTCTTCACAGCAAAGGAACAATCAAAAAATGAAAAGGTAACTTATGAAATGGTGAAAATATTTGCAAACCATATGTCCTATTAGGATTTAAAAAAAAAAAAAAAAAAAAAAAAAATCATACAACTCAATAGCAAAAAAAAAAAAAAAAAAAAAAAACTCATTTAAAAATGGGCAAATGACCTGAACAGACATTGTTCCAAAGAAAGATAAATGGCCAACAGGTACACATGCACATGAAAGGTGCTTAGCATCACTATTCATCAGGGAAATGCAGATCAAAACCACAAAGAGATATCACCTCACATCTGTTAGGTTAGCTGTTATCAAAAAGACAAGATTAAAAGCATTGACAAGGATGTGGAGAAACAAGATCATTGTACGCTACTGGTGAAAATGAAATTTGATAGGGCCAGTATAGAAAACAGTATGGAGGTTCCTCAAAATATTGAAAATAGAAACATCTTATGATCCAGCAACCCATCTTCTGGGTATATATCCTTCTGGGTATATATCCTGGGTATATATCCTAAACAGTAGCTTCAGTTATATCTGCACTGCTATGGTCATTGCACCATTATTCACTATAGCCAGGACATGGAATGTGTGTGTGTGTGTGTTGATGAATTAATGGATAAAGAAATTGTGTGTGTGTGTGTGCATGTGTATATATGTATATATTAGATTGGTGCAAAAGTAATTGCAGTTTTTGCCATTATATACAGTCATTAAAAAGAAGGAAAGAAGGAAATCCTGCCATTGGTGACAACACGGATGGACCTTGAGAGCATTATGCTAATAAGTGAAACAAGTCAGACAAAGAAAGAGAAATGTATAAGCTCACTTATATGTGGAATCTAAAATAGTCAAACTCGGCCGGGTGCGGTGACTCATCTGTAATCCCAGCACTTTGGGAGGCTGAGGCGGGAGGATCACTTGAGGTCAGGAGTTCAAAACCAGCCTGGCCAGCATGATGAAACCAACCCCTTCTCTACCAAAAATACAAAAAAAAAAAAAAAAATTAGCTGGGCATGATGGTGCATGCCTGTAGTCTCAGCTACCTGGGAGGCTGAGGCAGGAGAACGGTTTGAACCTGGGAGGCAGAGGTTGAAGTGAGCCGAGATCGCACCACTGCACTCCAGCCTGGGCAACAGCAAGACTGTCTCAAAAAAAAAAAAAAGTCAAACTCAAAGAAACAGAGTTGAATGGTGGTTGCCAGGAGCTGGGAATTGAGGGAAATGAAAAGATGTTGGCCAAAGAGTGCAAACTTTCAGTTATAAGGAACACATTCTGGGGATCTAACGTACAACATGGTGACTAGAGTTAATAATACCGTATTGTATACCTGAAGTTTGCTAAGAAAGTAGGTCTTAAATGTCCTCAACGCACACACACAAAGCTAACTATGTCAGGTAATTGATGTGTTAATGATTGTGATAATAATTTCATAATACATATGCATATGAAAGCATCACATTGTATCCCTTAAATACATACGGTTGTCCCTCAGTAACCACAGGGGATTGGTTCTAGAAACTCCTGCAGATACCAAATCCAAGGATGCTCAAGTCCCTTATATAAAATGGTTTGTATCTGCATGTAACCTATGCCCATTATCTCTAGATTACTTATAATACCTAATACAATGCAAATCCTATGTAAATAGTTGTAATACTGTATTGTTTAAGGAATAATGATAAGGAAAAAAGTCCCTACAAGTTCAGCACAGATGCAACTATTACAGGCCTAACTACATTTTCAAACCGTGGTTGGTTGAACCTATGGATGCAAAACCCATAGAAATAGAGGTTCAACTGCAGCCATCCCATTACTGGGCATATACCCAAAGGATTATAAATCATGCTGCTATAAAGACACATGCATACGTATGTTTATTGTGGCACTATTCACAACAGCAAAGACTTGGAACCAACCCAAATATCCATCAATGACAGATTAGATTAAGAAATTGTGGCACATGTACACCACGGAATACTATGCAGCCATAAAAACGATGAGTTCACGTCCTTCGTGGGGACATGGATGAAGCTAGAAACCATCATTCTGAGCAAACTATTGCAAGGACAGAAAACCAAACACCGCATGTTCTCACTTATAGGTGGGAATTGAACAATGAGAACACGTGGACAAAGGGTGGGGAACATCACACACCGGGGCCTGTCCTGGGGTTGGGGGAGGGATAGCATTAGGAGATATACCTCATGTAAATGACCAGTTAACAGGTACAGCACACCAACATGGCACATGTATACATATGTAAAAAAAAAAAAAAAAAAAAACATGTACCCTAGAATTTAAAGTATTAAAAAAAAAAAAAAAAGAAAGAAATAGAGGGTCAACTGTACGATTTTATCTGTCAATTATACCTCAGTAAAGCTGGGGGTGGGAGTCCAGGAATAAATAGATAAACAGATAAATAGTTTGAGTATCTTCTTTGTGGCAGGGGTCAGGGGCTGGGGAGAAGTGGAGATAGGGCAGAGAGCTTTCCCTTCTTTTCCATTTCAATTTCTCCTAGCCTAGAATCTTCTTTTCTTTTAGTATTAATAGAAAGTTCTAATTTTTAATGAGGGCCATCCGTGGTGCCTAGAGATAAAGTAGCCATGGTCATTCAAGAGTGATTTGTCTCCTTGTCCTCCAGAAAACAATCAAAGGCTTGAGATCAACCCCATGGGCCTATATCTACCCAATCAGAACAGTGAGTTATCACAGAACCACAGCTCTATGAATGCTTTACCTGGATTTTTTTTTTCCAGAAGGAACATGTTTCTCATGCAGCAATCTTAATAAATGCAAGTGGGCTCCATTTCTTGGCTTTGAGGTAATGAAAAATTAATTACCATACTTTACAAGTAATAGTTTCCACTCACAGCACCCCTTTAGAAGTAAATATATCATAAATAGTTACTATTATACCAATGGCTGGTGGATTGGGCAGCCTGTCGTCCATAAATCTTTTTTCAACAGACATGTTATTTCTTCTGGGGGAACAAACAGATTTGTTTTAGATCAGAGAGTCAACTGACAGATGGCCTTTGTAAAAACACACCATTTGTATAAATAAATTATAGTTTCACGATGGTATTCTGCATTTGTGGATTTGGAAAATCAATGCCCCCATTCTCCAGACTGGGCCTAAACTGTAAAGAGCAATTTTGTTTAGGTGCGAGGTCACATTGCACAGATCTGCCAACACAGATGCTAAAGTCCAAACTCTCTGGATGCTTGCTGCCACTTCTCATCACAATTGTCACAAAGAACTCTGCCTGGAGGTAACAGGATGATCTCCCAGAGAGCTCCGTAATGGATCAGAGCAAGTTACCAACTGGCACACTCCCCTTAGCTCTGGGCTCTGTTTCTATTAAACGTAATGACACCACGTGCCTTATTTTCCTAAAAAAAACTTTGCATAATTGGGGCTGACAGTGTATTTGTCTTAAAAACCTGAAACACTTCATTTTCTTTTATAATACAGTTCGTCAGTTAAATGCTAAACATTCAGTAGATTCCTTTAAAATCCAAACCAGCCCTGACTCTGAGCACACTGAAATCTCAGTCATTACTCATCTTACAAGGTATACACATGTAACATATGCATCAAATATTTCTTGATTCATATATAAATGTATATATCTAAATACGCATCTATACACACACACACCTACTCATGCAAATCCCCTTTCCCAGAACCAAAGGGTCAGAATTTAGTATCAAAAAAGACACAGTTTGTTACTGTTTTTAAGAACCAGGACTAGTCAAATGTTTCTTTTGTTAGGAGACCAAGACATTCATTTTAGCCAGAAATTCTAAGTACAGTCTTTGTTGGCCTAATGATTGCCTGTGTGTCCTTTTTTTAAGGACATTATTCCCCCTCCACCCATGATTAAGATCCTAAAGTCATCAGTCATGATCAAGGAAATAAAAGTTTAACATCAATCATGTTCACTATTCAAAATATAACAACAGGAAAGACTTTGTAAGTTTCCAGCTTAAAAAAAAAATTTGTGTGTCAAATTGCCTAGTATTTTCCTAGCTATAAGGTACTTTTGGAAGCTGTGTTTATTCTTTCACATGGGGGATACTGTTAGCCTGGTGCTTTGTCTGCATTCATAACCTCAAGCTCCCACATTGCTATTTAGAGTTATACCAGTTGGTGCCTTGATAAAATTAATACAGTGTCTACAGTTCCTAACTTACATCCAAAGAAGTGCATAAACCAGTGATTACCATCTGTTTCTATGACACTCCCAGGGAATCTCAGGTTACTTCAAAGGAGATCAGAAATTCCCAAATAAAATTAATTTAGATCCACAAATCTTACATATATAGTTAACATATGCCAGATATAAATATATACCTACATGCACATAGTACTTCGGGAAGAGGCAATGTCAGGAAATTACTAAGGTAATTGCATACTAAGATCCTAGAAGGGTAAAATGATCACAAATTATAATATGCATCGTAAACTAGATTAGAACTAATTATGGAAAATAAAAGTCCACTCAATTTACACAAAATCACAAATTTGGATCATGAAAAAGAAAAAGGGTTTGGGGGGTAAATCAACAAAGTTATTTTTGAAGTAGATGATTTTGTGGATGAATTACTAGCAACCCAATAGGACACAAATCTGGTTGGACGACTGATTCATTTGATTCTCTTTTTTATCTCTAAATTATGTTACATGCCTGTCTGTAAATGGAGAAGCTCTTCATCCTGCATCTCAATAAAAGTATTAAAGACATCTCTGCTGTAATGGAGTCAACTCACAATCAATACCTGTATTCATAATATTATGCACACAGACAGGTCAAGGGTTAAGAAAATGTTTTCAGTGCAACTGTAATCAACTGACCCTCCTGTAATTAGGCTGTTTGCTGACTCCTTGGGGACATTTATTGGGAGGGGTCCAAGGACCCCTCTCAGACTCAAATCATGTGACCGAGTGCAAAATTCCTTTGCTTAAAACACACACTTCTCCACCTTTAATCACACTCCACGCGGTGATTAACAGCGTGGATCTGCCACTTCCTAACTCTATAACTGTAGGAAAGTTTCTCATCCACTCCCTGCCTCAGTTTGTCTGTAAAAAGGAGAAAACAGTGCTTGCCTCATACAAGTGTTGAAAGGATGAAATAAGTTAGTAAGGATAAAGTGCTTAGTACGGTGCACACAGTAAACATTCAATAAGTGTAAGCTCTTATCATTCTTTATTATTCAACTTGTCAGAGGTTCCCCGAGCTAGAGGCCACTGTAGAACTCTAGATCACTCATCAATTTATGATCATGTTGACTTTTTAAAATGTATTTTAATTTTATATAATATTATATGATACTATCTCAGTGTTAACTTTTTATGTGTTAAATGCTCGGTATTCAACATACATAATTCAACTAGACCTGCAGATTAAGTGGCATATTTGTTGCCTATACATCCTGAAAAGTTTGGAATTGGTGGAAATTGCATTGACTGGGTATCTGGACATGCACTGGAGGATCTCCCACTAATGTCCTGTGAGGCCGTGGCTGAGTCATTTCACCCATCCAAATACCAGATTTCTTCCTATAACAAAGGTTTGGACTAGGTGAACTCTAAGAATGCTTTTATCCTAAGAACCAGAGTATTATGAAGCTGACATCCTCCTTGATTTTCTGAGTTGCAACAGCATCATCTGTCTGAAGAAACCAACCAGTATGAAATGGGAGAATCCTAACCAGTAAATTTCCTAGATTCAGCCTCTCTCAGGATAGCACATAACAAAATGCTAGGATGAACTATTATATAAAATTCACATAAAAATGACCACATATGCCACTTTTATTGGGAAATTACAGGCTGAATGTGAATCTAATATCTACTGATGAATTATTCAACTATATTTCAGTCAGCCTGGCTGACTGGATGACAGAGTATGAGTATTTTTCAAGCACTCATAGAAAACTCCTGAACTCTCTTGAATGTTGGCCTGAAGGTTATTTCTGGTGAAGAATGGACACCTGAATGTATAAGAAGAGACACCCTTTCTCTAGGAATCGGAAAGGACATCATTATGGGATGCCCCAGAGGTTCATGTGAAACCCTTTAAATATACATCTTGGGGAAAGAAGACTTTATCCTGACTGGATAGCCTAACCTGGAAAATACCTTCCAAGACAGAGAACAGTGAGGTCATACGCAGAGGGCGTGAAAGGCTTAGGAAAAGAGTAAAGGAAGCCCCAAGAAATGGAAACTGTTGAGTCCAGGGGAGTTTGAGAAGCCATAGGAGACTGAAATAGAGATTTATTCATATGTTGATGATATATGCATGATTTGGAGGAAGTCAGAGAGAAAGATGACTGATTTCTCAGCAAACACACTTTAAAATGCACATGTTCTAAACCTAACTTGCTATCTATAAATGCCAGCCATAGCCATGATTAACTAGTAGAGACGCAGAGGGTGGTAGGCATGGGTTCTTCCCACTCAGACACTGGGAGGCTTTCAGTCACTCCAAAATCCCCACTGCCTAAATAGTTACAAGTTTGTAGCAGCAAATATACACAATATTACCAAATGTAACAGCTTTAAAAATCATCCATTTGGCCACGGCTGGAGAATTCTGTTTGCACCGGTTTCTCTTTTTGGAAGAGATCAAAATGTTGCCTCTCACAGTCCTTTGACTGAAGGAGAAATCAGAGGAAACCTGGATGGTCCACAGAAAGTTAGCATTTCCCACTGAAATAAACACATTCCTTTGACTCCCCTCCAGCCATGGAGCCCTGGCCAACATTTCACAATACAAAGCCGAGACTGACTTCCAGTAGGAACACAGCAACTGCTAATCCCCATTATCACACCCGACAGTGTCCACCACACCCCCATAAAGATGCATTTTCTAGTAACTAATAAAAACTGGTCCTGAAGACAATAGCCTCGCGCTCATCCAAATACCCGTTGGGATATTACAAATTAACACCTTGTAAAGCAACCCAATTAAAAAGTATGCCCATACACACAGTCTCATCCACCAAAACATACATCTGCCTTTCCAAATATTATGCAACGCTGGATTCTAAATCGGTCTTAATTTCTAAAAAGCCTACAGGCACGGATATAAATTCTCAGTTCTTATGGCTGTGGCCGCCCTATGCACTCTTCCCAGTGGTGGACACAAACGTTAATGTACTTATTATTACTTAAGGACACAAAAATAAAGAAGGTGGCATTTTTCTCTTTCCCCTTCTAAGGTTCTCCCCAGAGCTGCCAGATGAACGCCCACGCCACCTTCTCCCACCAAAGGTGGATCCGGCTAACAGGAGACTGGATCGTGACCATCGCGCGTCTGTGCCCAGCTCTGGGGAAAGCCTCATCTTAGCGAGTGGCCCTCGGCTAGTCCCGCAGATCGGTCAAGTACGCGGAGGCCGCGCGGTTTCACCATTAATGTTGCTGAAGGACAATAGCTTATCAAGCCCCACCGAAAGCCCCGGACCCGTCGCGGAGCCTGGGCTGGCGGGGGATGAGGCTGAGCGACTCCTCCTAGAGGTGGTTATGTGGAGAAGGAGCAATCCCTTCTCCCTCCTCCTCCTCCCCCCGCTACTATCCGCGGCCCAGAGAACTGCCGCTTGCCGCCATTGACACGCACAGATAGAACCCAAAGAAAGGCAAAGAGTCCTGCCCGGCACCGGCGCCGCGCGGGCCGAACCTGCGCCCAGGGAGGGGCGCGCAGAGGGCACCGGGCGCCCTGAGCAGGCGGCGCAGCACCAGGTGAGCCCGCCATGGCGATGGCATTATTGTTTAGGGTGCTCCGGGGTCTGGAAACAAAACGCGCCGCCGGGGCAGTGCAGGGGCCGGAGAGAACCACCTCTGCCTCTCCCCTGAGCC